GGTTGTTGCGTGGAAATATGCCACTCCCACGTCTGTGCGGTTTGTCTTAGGGAATAGCATCCAGCCTAGTTTTGCACAGTGACTGGAAACAAACACCACAGCTAGTCTAAGCCTGTCTAAAGTAACAAAAAAGAACGGCTTAAAAATGCATTATTTTACTTTTTACATCCTGTCAGTTTAATCCTACACCATTTTAGGCCATTTCAGTCTGTGCAAGCCAGATCCAGAAACCTTCACACAAAGGAACATTAAAATATTATCTCATTTTGAATTTGATGGCAGCAAAATATCTCTAAAATGCTGTTACACCTGCAACAAAGGATTCCAAGAATCCAAAGAAATTATGAAATTTCTGTGTGCAAAGGACAAATATTGGATGCCACCAGGCAGCACTGCATTAAAACCATAAATCTGGCAAGGAAGTCGCTGCATGGGCTCAGGAACACTTCCAGAAATCACAGTTTGCTGTGCGATCACAAATGGAGGTTAAACTTCAAATATACCAGGAAGATGCGAACGTCGTGTGAACATGATAAAAATGCACAGAACAAACGTAAAAAGTAAATACTCGAGTAAAAATAGCTGAAAAGAACTTTACAGGTATGAGAATAACAATTTAAGACTCCTCCAAAGAGGATGAGCTTCAGCGTAAATGATGTAAAACTATAAATAAATGCTTGTTAAACCCAAATGTCCCTCTCTTTCTGGCTTGGACACCCTTCCAATCAAGAGATGGAGATTTCATGTAAACTTTAGATAAAAACAGAATATTTCTCACAGCATGTTGTCGCTGGAAGAGCTGACTCCACGGCTGTATTCATTTGGCTGTGAGATGCAGAACTCGTCCACAGCGAAGCTTGTGATGAATTCCAAGAGACAGAGGTCGTATTGCTTGGAGCGGCAGTCATGCTGATCTCGGTGGATGTGAAGAAACCTGTTGTGTTGTATCCGGGAGGGCCTTGTGTGCGATTGGAAGCAGGGGGAGAGGTTGTGTTCATCAATGCAGGGCTGGTCAGGGTGGGCTCAGCGGTGGGCCACACTCCAGTGTCAGCTGGGAGCAAAGAACAACAAGTGGACTCTAAGTTTCTGGTGTAAATACCACTGTGTGACTCACATCACAGACGTGTCGTAATTAGAAACAACATGTAGTGTTTCCACTTTAAAAGAGCAAAAAAATTAAGTAGGTAAGTAGAGTCATGGATCAAAAATAGACTTTTACTCTAAACTGTCTTTACATTGATTGATGACTTGGGTTAATAAACAGCATCTTTGTAAGAACCATCTCAAGCTTTCCAGTATGAAGACCTGACTCCGCCCTCCTCCACTCATCATGGTGAACAGACAGTTTACATGTTGTTAGTCACACAGCCAACAGAGGTCACTTTAGAAACGGTGTCTTTACAAAGCAGTGATAGTAGATCATTGTGGATCATTTATGAGGAAGGACCATCTTCACAAAATATGACAAATGTGGCAACTTTGCTGTGAGCCAGCTAAGCCTTTAAAACTAACCACAACTTCCTCGTTCGAGTGGGTTTGTCTGACTTGAAGAACAACTCTGACACATATTATTGTGCAGCCGTTTCAGATTAAGGAGGCAGTCTGTTAACCACAGCTTTGTTCCAAAACAAGCCTCCATGTGTGCCTTAATGTTTTCACACAGCTGTCAGTAGGTTTTTCTGCTTTTAACAAGAAAACTATCTTTTGAGACTTGTTTTCTTTTTTCTTGTTTGATATTTTACCCAAAAAAGGCCGATGGTGGGCGGACTATTAAAATCTGAGTAAAACTGAGAGAAATCTTCACTTGTTCTCACTCAGCTTCCACCTCCAGGTCTACAGGTCGGTTATTCTAAT